AGCTGCGTGGACCATTAAATCCTGTTAGGGTCTATTGGCATTAAGTCTGTTAGAATTTACTCTGTTCTTGTATGCTCTAACCACATGCTCATTTCCTGACTGCTGAAATTATTTCGTTTCAGTTTGTCTCGTACACGGCTCCGGAATCCAGAAGCCCAACCCTGCAGACATCGCGTGGCTTTGAGCTGCGCCTCTCACTGAGCAAGGTTATTAACAAATGCTCTAAATCCAGAATACACGAGCGCTATTTTTATCGGCAGCATTGTACAGGGCCAGCAAAGTCTACAGTGTAATTCACCTTGAAGGGGGGGAGCTGGAAGGCATTAGGTTTAACGACCAAGGATGGGAGTCAGGCCGGGAAGACGCCTGGCTCTGCCTCAGAAGTGCCGCCATCAGCTCGCTGTAAGCATCAGAGAATCTGAAACCTTTCCGTGTCTTTGGGTGCCGGGCACACATTAGGGAGGAGCAACGCAGGGACTCGGGCTTCAGAACAGTGGCCTGCCCTGCAGCCCTCTGAGCAGGAGAACAGGAGATAACCACTCGTTTGCTTTGTGTTTTGGGTGTTTAATCCACAGATACACAGACAGCTTCGAGAAATCTAAGCGTGCTGCAGCAAACCAAGGCGCCTTGGGGCAGGAATACCACCACAGCAGGGCTGGGCCGTGGGCAGAGGCGTGCTGCCGGGTACCACCGATGGGCTCTGCAGGGCGGGGTGGTGAGGGCGGCCTGGAGGGGCTTTTGCTGGGCAGAGCGTCCCTGACCACAGCGAGGGGCGCAGAGCTGGGCGGGTGCTTTCTGGCAGCCAGCCCGGGGACTGGCGGTGAGTTAACAGCCGGCTCTAGAGCAAGCAGACCTTCAGCAGGTAAGAACGGTGACTAGTCCTTTATTTTTCAGACATTCAGGGCAGGACATTTGCTATCCAATGTGCTTACTGAAAAGCCAAGAACGCCAGCGTTGTGGCCGTTCATACCTAAAGCATGGCTGCATTAATGAGGCGTATCAAGCAACGGACTCTGCACAATGCCGTAAAACCGGCGGCTTTGCCTCCCTGGCCGCCACACCCAGCACTGACTGCTCCTGCTCCGCACGCTCTCACGTTTCACCGCAGAA